CCCCCCCCCTCCGAAAAAAAAAAAAAACACATAACAGAACAACCAAGGTTGCAACTGAGCGTCATTGAGGGCACAGTCGTCCAAGCGAACAGACGACCTCGGGTGGTTTAGGGTCTAGAAATCGCAGCCTGTGGCTAAAAAAGGGCTAAACCTTTCAGAAAAGCATTTGGTGCACAGCCGCGCACAATTCTCGCCGGAGAAGGGTGATCAAAGCTTGCCCAGATCTTCCAGTATCCCTTGAGTAGGGACTACCTCTAAAGGGATACCCCAAATTGTGCTGATAAGACCCCTGGTATGAAAAGGTTAGGGTTCAAAACGGATGCAGGGTTGGGCGGGTTAGGGCTCCAGAAGAGAATTCAAAATAAGGTGCAACACAAGCCCTAAGCCCTAAACTCAGACAATCAAAACGCGGTTTAGGGTCCGCATACGGTGAAACATGCATATTGCACGAGAGACTCAAGCTCAAATTCCAAATACCCGGCCTCCTAAACCATAGAAGCCCGGCCCACCGGATTTGCCGATGTCTCGGCGACATCCGCAGCTACTCGAGAGCGCAAGGAAGTGCTTGTCGCTGTCGGCACTGAGCAGATTTAGAAACTCCCCATGCCCCGGGGCAGAATCGACGTTGCTCGGCACCAGGTGGTTGCATGACAGTGTCCCAGAGGGCGACATCAGGGGGTACCCGTAGAGTCTTGCAGACGAAGCGACAGCTTGAGCTTGTCACAGCTTGTCGCCATCTGCGCCGAACCGCAAGGAAGCGGACCCGCGTGAGTTTGGCCGACACGGCGTCCCCGTTCTTGATGGCATTGATGCTCAGTGGTGTGAGGGCTTCGCGTCGCATTGCTTTGTGTGGCGGGCCCTAAGTGCCCCAAACCCTAAACCCCAAACCCCAAACCCTACACCCTAAACCCTCAACCCTAAACCTAAACCCGCAAACCTGAGTCCCTCAACATTGGACCTTCAACGGAATTCCTCAACCCGTACAGCTCCTTTACCCTACGGGCCCATGTGCCCAAATAGTACACACTTTGGCCTCAAAGTAATCCCTATTTAGGTACTTTGGGGCCAAGATATATACTAGTTGGGTACATGGACCCTTTGGGTTGTGGAACCCTCATTCGGACCCTAAATGGAAGAACCTGCCCCTAAAGGAGCCCGTAAAAGGAATCCTGCACCCCAAATTCCTAAACCCTGAACACTCATCGTCTGTTTAAGGGAGCCCGAAAAGGTGCGAGAAATAATTTGAATGGCAGGGTTTAGGGTTTAGGGTTTAGGGTTTAGGGTTTAGGGGTTAGGGTTTAGGGGTTTCGGGTGCTTGCAATGTTTTCGTTTTCTGCTTCCCAGAGAAGCTCGAACTGTGGCAAGGTGCACATTCTCTTTTAAAATCACGTTTACCAACATAAAACGCAAAAAACAAATACACACCTCCACCCTAAGACTCTAAAGCCCCATAAAGGACCTTAACCCACCTGAACCTAATTTTTTGTAGGGTCCCTATAAATCCCATATTAGGGTTTAGAATAAGAACCTACAATAACACTTCTCAGCAAGTCATATGCATCACCGCGCACGCCTGCAGGGTTTTCAGACGGC